TTCCCCGCGCGCTGCTGCAGGACGCTAAATTACACACCTTCAATTAGCAGGATATAATGGTTTAACGAGGAAATGCTTTGTGGTGGACTCAAACCCCAGATTATTTCCTCCTGCAGGAGATTTTGACTACATTATTCTTATTAATTTAATTTGAATATTTTTTTTCTCCCGGTGAGAAAGCCTCTCCAGGCTCTTTCCGTCGAGAAAAAGGCGAGGAAATGCAGAGAGAGGGGAAGCAGCCTTCTCAGGCAGCCTGAAGAGCTGCAAAAGTTTCGTCCCCTTCTCTCGCCATGGTCCCCCCCTCCTTCCCCAGCCTCCCGCAAATTTCTGGGTGCCTGGTGAGAAGAAGCCAGGCCGGCGGGGGCACGAAACTCCGCTGGGCTTAAAAACCATACACTTGGTTAAAGGCAGGAGGAAAACGGGAGCGGAGGGAGTTTGCAGAGGACGCGGGATGCAACTCCATGCTCTGCCTGGCCAAAGTTTGTGCCTCTAATTCAACTCTGAAAAATACCTGTTTTTTGTCAGTTCTGCTTCTGCAGGAGGGACAGCAATACGCTCCTCGTAAGGCCAGCAACGTACCGCATCGCTTTGCATCTGCACGTGTAGCTTCTTGGGTTTAGTAGGCCCAGTTGCACGTTAAGGAGAGAAAATAAATCTATGGGCCGGTTGCTCCCTGTCCCAGTCCCCCCCCCCCCCCTTTTTTTTTTTTTTTTTTATAAATTAATTAAAAAAAGAAAAAAGAAAAAAGTCAGGCACTGTGCTTTTACTCAGTTGTGAAAATCTCGCATTCTTGTTGCACGTTTGGAAAAGTAGTACGAGGATTAGAGGCCTCCTGACAACTCTTCCCTCCGAAGGATCAATTAGGTGATTCTGTCATTTTCTGTAGAAAAAGGGGGCGAGTCCTTAGCAATTGCAAGCAATTTCCTATTTTTCATTTCAGGAGCTTTTATTGATACAAGTTTTGGGATGGAGATTTTTTTTTTTTCTTTTTTTGTGTTAAGTTTTGGTTCAGATTTAAAGGGAAGCTTTCGAAAGTGGGTTAGAAAAGGAAAACAAACAGAAATCCTAGTTATGAGCGTATTTATCCAAGCACTGGAACTGAAATGGCACGAGCGTTTTGTATCATCTGTCAGGAAAAATCTAAATATCGTTCCATTTACATATCTGCTGAAGATCTAGGAAATAGTTGGGGAACACATGCACATCTCCTAATAGATTTACAGGCAAATGGATTGTAAAAATATTAACAAGGGTCGCTGTAGCTGGCTTAATTTCAAAGAGATCAGCAGAAATATATTGTTTCAAAAGACTCCTTTTGCAGTGTTACATTATTGCAGGCGCCTTTGGGCTGGGTTTTGGGGCTCTTTTGTTGGTTTGGTTTTTTTTTAACACCTTTCTGAAGAGCAGAGGAGAATTTCATATAAGCAATACCGAATTGCGCGGCCCAAATTTTAGGTGCTGCCTAGAAACAGGCTGTTCTCGGAAAAAAATATCCTCAAACTTTGGAGAGTAGTGCAATGAAAAAAACCCTTACTTTTTATTCTCGCTTTCCTAGCTTTCTGGTGCCTTTTATTTTTAGGTGACCCATCAAACGCCGAGGGGGGAAAGCAAACATCTTTATAAAATACTTTGAAAGTTTCCCTTAAAGCTAACTTGGGGAAAGGCAAAGATCATCTCCTTTTCCACCAGTTACTTAAAATCTTGATATTTTGCAGTGAGGCTGCAGACAAGTCTGCACATCTGTTAGCACGCTTGCATTGACACATTTCCAAAACTTTTTTTTTTGGGGGGGGGCTATAACAACACTGAAATAAGTAATCGTATTGTGCAGAAACCGCTCCCCCTCCCTCCCCCCCGCTTCCAGCCCAATTTTGTTTGATCAGTCCTGAGTGCTTTTATTTCCACTTCGACTTTGCTAATACCTCACCGCTGAGATTGAAGCAGTGTGATTTTACGGAGCAGTGTGTTTACCAAGACAGTTTGAAAGTTGGTCTGTTTATGAGTCATTAACCTTTTCTCCTCGTACACCATTTTGAAAAGACACATTGGAGTCTAATAGGGACGCGCACACCTCACGCGCCGAGCAGTGGTGCTTTTCATTTACTTCAGCCATGGACCCTGACTTTACACCAAAAAGCACCTTTTTTTTTTTCCCCCTCCCCCTGAAGTCTTTTAAAGTGGTTTGGGTTTTTTTTCGGGTGTTGTTTTTACCTCCCCTTTCAGGTTCACAACGTAGAAATCAGCTTTAGCGCAGGTTAAAGCGACTCTCTCTTGGATAGTATCCAGCGTCGAGCCAAAAAAGTCCCAAGCACATGAGATCAGGCAGGACAAAGCGCTGCTTAAAGCAGAAAAGTTAAAATATTTCAGGATGTACCAAGGCGTGTTTAGAAACTAGGAAGGCTTGAAGCGCTCCCCTGGCTCATTGTGGGTCTGTCGAGCCTCTGCTGTGTGTACCTTCGCAGATAAACTTCCACTTGACAAAAGGCCTTTTTTCCTTGACTTTCCCTGAGTGGGAAAGGGGAAGGGCAGGAGGGATCAGAAGGGAGCGTTTATTATTTTTAATAGCTTGTAGGGACCTGTAGTTTTTATATTTTTAGGGTTTTTTTCTCCCCCCCCCCCCCCACCCCTAAATTTTTTTTTTTTTTTTTTTTTTTTTTTTTTTGAGTGTAGCCAAACACTAGAACAGGTTGTCCAGAGAGGTTGTGAAGTCTTCATCCTTGAAGGTATTCAAAACTCAATGACAAGAACCTGGACAACATGCTCTAGCTGACCCTGCTTGAGCAGGATTCCCTGCTGTTGGACTAGACAATCTTCAGAGGTCCCTGTTTACCTGCTTATATTTTAATCATCATTCACAGTACTTGTGATTACTGCCGCTCTGCTGTGCTATAATGAAATATATTGTGCCGGTTTTGGTAGTTTTTAACAATCTGTGTTTAAAATAAAAATAAATGCTGTGGTATTACCTATAGATTTAAGTGTTTACAATTTAGGGGCCACTCAGAATAAATGCAATGAAAGCTTTTGGGAAGTCAGCAGAAGGTCTTGAATTACGACAGGATTTTGGTGATAGATATTGCTACTATTGAGGTCTCAATTTTTCATAATTTTTGAAAAGAAAATGCAAGTTAAAATAAGGTGTTGAAAGGAAGTAACATGTCTGTTTTAATAACAATATTTGCATGACCTGAAATGATTTGGGTAGGAAATGTACTCCATGGGATAATTAAAAAAAAAAAAAAAGTTAGTTAATCTGAAAAATCCCCAATGTTGCCTTGCAAGGGTAGGCAGCGGGTGGCTTTTACCATGCTGCGGGAAACGTTGCACAAATTACTTTATTTTTCCCTCCTGGAGGGCCCGATCCTGAGAGAAGGAGGAACTCGGCCCCTAGAAGCAGAGATGTCCCCAGCAAGCAGTGCTGGATCAGGCCCCCACAGGCTATATACGTTTTTATGTGCAGCCTGGAGTTCGTTCATTCATTTATTCAGAGGAAAACAAAAAGCGTGGTCCCAGTGTATTATAATATTTTTTGATCTCTCTGGCTGTTTTATGTAGTACTTTTTGAGGATATGTATTATTATTTTTTTTAACAAAATTTGGGGGGTCTTTACTGCATTTTTTTTAATTGTCAGCACAATTTTAATTGTGATTATTTTTGTGCCAAGGAAGAGGGGTGATCTTTAACTCATCGTTACACAAAGCAAGCAGTGTCTCTGGATTGCCGAACTAAATTTCCAAGTAGGGCATTTCTTTTTAAATATATGAAAATAAGACACAACTTATAAAGAAAAAAATAATTCTTTGCGTATTTGCACAAGACGTGCTAAGGTTTTCTGTTACTGCATTTTTCAATTTTTCCTGTTTCTTTTTATTTTCTAGAAAGGCTCAGAGTTTGGCTTGTCCTAATATGCCCGAATATCAGATTTTTATTTTTTCTTTTTGACTAATTATAAACAAAACTTTAAAAAAAAATTGTGAGACTTGCTTTTTCTAGGATTTTAGTGTTAGTTATTGTTGCGCACACGGGATAAATCGGCGGCCTTACTTTCTACTCCCTTCACTGTTTAGGAAACGGAGAGAAAACCACCCTTCATTGTATTTGTATGTGCAGCTATATTGGCATTTTACTATACTGCCTGCTGCTATTTCCAAATATATCTTAGGGAAAGTTTTACTATACTTTAGACTTCCCCATACAAACATTGATTGGCATCCAAATGTTTAGGATTTGCCAAATTGGCGGGCATACGCTGGCTACACCACAAGCAGTGGGGTCAGGGAGAGAGCAAAGGGAGATACGCACTCCGCAAGTGGACTTGCAGCGGGGTTTTTAGCTTTTAACTCATTCTCCCTTTTTTTTTAGAGAGATTTGGAGTTTGGGGAAAGGGCCCCATTGTTGCACCATCTCTGGCTGGGTGCTTGTTTGAAGCTGGACCCCGTTTTCGGGGGGGTGGGAGTGGAGGTTTTGTGTCGGTGCGAGGTGAAGCGGGGATGCGGCGGTGGCGGGGTCGGGGTCCATCGACGAGGGGTGCGAGTCCCGCAGCCTGTAAAATGTATAAGCACCCTCCTAATTCTCACCGTCCCAGCAAGCCTTAGGGCCTCGCACGAAAGCCCCGTTTCTGGAGGCTTTTTGTTGATGGTTTCGGTGACATCGACCCTTGTCTGTAACTTTTTCAGGATGAATTTCATCCCTTCATCGAAGCACTTCTGCCTCACGTCCGAGCGTTTGCATACACGTGGTTCAACCTGCAAGCCCGAAAAAGAAAATACTTCAAAAAACATGAAAAACGCATGTCAAAAGAGGAAGAGAGAGCCGTGAAGGACGAACTGCTAAGTGAAAAACCCGAGGTAAAGCAAAAATGGGCATCCAGACTTCTGGCAAAACTCCGGAAAGATATCAGGCCTGAATTTCGGGAGGATTTTGTTCTCACAGTCACAGGAAAAAAGCCTCCGTGTTGCGTTCTTTCCAATCCAGACCAGAAGGGCAAGATGAGAAGAATTGACTGCCTTCGCCAGGCAGATAAGGTCTGGAGGTTGGACCTTGTTATGGTGATTTTATTTAAAGGTATTCCGCTCGAAAGTACTGATGGCGAGCGCCTTGTAAAGTCCCCACAGTGCTCTAACCCCGGGCTGTGCGTACAGCCCCACCATATAGGAGTTTCTGTTAAGGAACTCGATTTATATTTGGCATACTTTGTGCACGCAGCAGGTAAGTGCCTTTCTATACCACCTTCTACAACTTTTCGGTTTATCTCCGTGTCGGGTGCCGTGCCCCGGCAGTGGCTGCATGAGCCGGGGAGGGAGCGGGGGACGCCAGTTATGGCCCTCCCAGGGCGGCGAGGGGAGTGCCAAAACTCCCCCCCCCCCCTTTTTTTTTTTTTTTTGGCTTTTTTTGGGAGCACGCACGCATAAAAGCGGCTCTCATTTTCCTGGGGTTAATGGTGTTTTGGGCATTCTTCACAGGTGTTATCCTAAATGTTGTCCTAGGAGAGGTTGCAGCTGGATGCGGCTTCCTTTATCCTGATTTTGGGGGAAAGCAGATAGATTTTAATTTAAAAAAAAAAAAAAAGTTTGTATATGTTATGCACAAAGTAGTCTGAGAAGGCTAGAGGTCCCCAAGGCCCATGGGTCAGGAGTACCAGGTATCCTCACCCCGGGGAGTGTAAATCCCGCAGGACTGGGCTCGGAGGGAAGGGGGAAGATGGTCCCTCGATAGCAAACCTAGCCATCAGGTCTGAGCAGCCACGAAACAAACCCCCGAGTAATCCTATGGGGAAAAGGAGGCATTTAAACCCCCCTGAAATATCGCAATTTATACACCTAGAAGCTGAGCAGGTCTTGAAACAAATTCCTGGTTTGATAATATTGTGCTTACGGGGGGGCTGAGATGTTTTTGCATGTGATGAAAATGAAAATCTTGGGATCTCTGACTCCAGTGCAAAGTACACCCTGCCCGCGGAGTGACTCGGTATGCTCGGAGGATGTGTAGTATGTTGACTGGATAAAATAATATGCTATTGTAGTTCTCCTGAGTGATTATATTGCAGAAAAATGTGCGCGTGCGAAGTTCTAGGCCCTGGTTTTCACGTATAGAATGCATAGGTCCCCCTGAGTTTCGGCCTGACTTGCAAGTTGAGGGGCTGGATAGGCTGGAAAAAAAGAGGAGCAAAGCGGGGAGGAATCATATTAGTAGAAACCATTTCTATATAAATATATATCAGTAAGAAAACCGAGCAAATTGCAGCACTGGGAGCCTGCATTTCCAATGCCACCTTCTTTCAAAGGGTCTTGCAGAAAGTTTTGGCTACCCCAAAGTTTTTCTGCGCTGAGTCCCTGCCGTGGTTGTTGCGATAGGCAGTGCCGCCGCTGTGATTTTACGGGTACGATCCCTCTTCGGAAATAACTTTTGAGTATCCGCACGGTATTTCTTGCAGATAAGCTGCGAAATTTACTTTGCACTTCGGTGCAATGTGGTAAATCATATTGCACGTTTATGGTGAAGGGGTGGTAGGCAAATATTGTGGAAAATTATTTATTTACTCTGCAATTTATTACGGGGCATGGTGAAGGAAGTATTACCAATTAATGGCTAACCAAAGGGAGATTGGGGCTGGGGTGTTGCAGATGCCCTCGCGTCCATCACCGGTCCTGAGGAGACCAGGGACTCTCATCCCTTTTGTCTGCCTCGTTTTCCTCCTCCGTTCATTGGAGCAGGGCGATGCACTTAAAGTGCTTTGATAGCCACGGCTGAAAACCACTACGTAGTGCTGTATTGAATTTATATATAGTGCGGTGCCGGTAAATAGTGGTCCGTATTGTGTTTCCTAAATGAAAAGCAGCCTTCTGCGGAGTGCAAAAGTTGTTAATAGAAACCAACGGTCTTGGTTTAACCTGCATGTAGGGTCACAAAAATGTAGGATGGGGAGAAAAGGACCAAACCCAGGGGTGTGAGTACTCCGGGGAGCTTGAAGGGATCTTCCCCCTGTTATAACAGTCAGGCAACAGGCATTATAAAAGTTCAGTATCGTGATTAGGGATATACCATCTTATCAGCATGCTGTTGGCAAACAGTAGGCTTGATAGCGAACTCTTATTTATTTCTGCCTTCATCAACCACAGGCAGCAATTGCACTAATTGTTCTTCGGACTAGATGTTTGCTGCGGAAACTTAGTGTGAGGCTTAGGCTCGTTTTTTTGGGTTAGATTTGCCGTTTTGTGTAAACAGTAACGCGCTCGTACAGACCGCACTGCTTCGTGTTTTCGGCCGTTGTTTGCTGATTGCACGCATTGCATTGTGCTCTTAATGCAGTAGCGTGTGCTGGCGTATTCCCTGCTAAACCTCACCAGAAAGGGGGACAAAATGATTTTTAGGAGGTAGCACAGCGTGGTCGCCATCTATATTGCTTCACAGAGGTGAACCGAAAGCCTCACATATAGGCTACCTTTTTTTTCCCCCCTTTTTTCCCTTTTTTTTCCCCCCTCCGATGTATCCCAGCAGTCTTTGTTACACCTGAACATTGGCCAAGTTGACAGCCATTGGTTCCCGCAGACCCGCAGTAATGGCAGCTTGTGCCGGGTGCGCAACAGGAAAATTACAAAAGAAAAGAAATATTAAGGGTCCTTTGTCTCAAACTCCATCAGACCTCACTCCCCAAATGTATGGACCGCTTATTTGTAAGAAGGAAGTCACCAGCACAAATATTAGGTAGGCTGGTCAACTTACATATAGTGGATTTGACAAGCATCTGCTATAGTACAGAAGATTTGTAAACACTAAACAATGTTTTTACCTCCTTAAAAGTTTTGAGAAGTTGCCAGTATTGGCAGGAGGCACAGACTCCGAAACGTGCTTGAAGATACGTGCCAAAACCATTGTGACCTTTTCACCCATAGTGCTTGCTTCTCTTTTTCTTGGTGTTTTTTTTCCACTCTTCGTCTTCTTGTTTTTGGGGGGAGTATTCTCTTCCAAGATGCCCTTATTCGAGCTGACTTCGGCAGCGAGATGTCCCTTTCCTTCTAAACATGTACGATAATTATTGCTTTGTATCCACGCTTTTTCTTCAGTAGGCACTATCATCTGTAAGGGAACACATGTGCACAGATTTAAATAGTGCTTCTTACAAAGCTACTGAAATCAATTATTCTCTTTAAGAACTGGCTAGAAAGAGAAAACAAAAATATGCAAATAGGCAAACTACATGTCATTTTCATTTAAAAAAAAAGAAGGAAAAAAAAAAGGAAAGGAAGATCGGTGTTTTGTGAATTAGAGGTTGACCAAAAAATGTATTGAAATCTAGAGTATTGCTCTCAGTTTGCAGTTTCTAATCTGCTTAACTAAAAGCAGGCAGCGTTTTCGTACCCTGAACTTGGGTTCGCTTTTTAGTTTTCACTTATGCTGCACTTGTATCAAATGACAAGTTGGAAACCATTGTGGCAAACCGTTTTCTTTGTGGGAGTCGAACAGTAAAGCTAATTTATGACCGGTCCTTTACCAGATGATCTGTATCAGAATCTACAATATACTAGGCACGTGGCAAGGTCACAATTTAAGTTGTTAAGGTCACAACCTTAGCCACCAGGCATTTGACCTTTTAGATAAAGTTAACCTTTGTTCATTAGTAGGCACTCAACCGAGAACTTTCTGGAGTTTTTTACTGCTTTGGAGTTCCTTCTGCTAATGTGATCAGATTGGAGAATAGATTTGCAATGGAAGTAGTTAAATGTTGTGAGAGGTCACAGTTTTTAGAGACTTCTCCAGTGGACGAAGCTGGATGGCAGGCCAGGAGGCGATGCTGCGATGCCCGATTTATTTTTCTGGACAACCATCATTATGCACTTTGGGCGAGAATTAAGCTGGCGAGGTGTTTGTGGCAGAGAAAATCTTTTAATCTTTCAGACAGACCTTTAAAAATCCCAAACTTAAGAAAAATCTGGGGCTAGAGTTTTATTTACATGAGCTCGTTTTTCTGTTCGTGTTTAGAATAGAAGCCAGAGAAGATGCAAGAAGTCAGTCTTATTTCTGCGACTGTGAAAATTTACTTAGCGTCTAAAATATGCTCTATGGCTAATTGCCTGGGCAGTAGTATATAGCACATGACCTTGAACTTTAAGCAGACCCATTTTATGTTCCCATCGGCAGATTTAAAATATTTCTACTTGGACCACCGCAAAGAGGCATCGATGGGAATAACCCAAAGATTGGTTAATGCAGGAAACAACTGCAGATAGCCAAAATACCCGTGGAGGTATCAGGGAGTCCGAAAGGTACATAAGGCTTTGCGCCGTAATCTTTTAGTACAATTGGTATTGATTGTTGCTGCATTAATCCTGTTAATAGCCGCAGCCGGTTCGGCGTGTTGCAGGGATGTGAGGGGTGTCCTGACAATACTGTACATCACCAAAAGAGCTGTCACAGCGTCTTGAACTCCTGATAGCTGCTTTGCAAAAGTGGAGCGTTTGACGGTGGAAACTATTACCGGCTCATATAGAAACACACACCATATTGTTTACTTAATTATGCCGTAGCGAAGGCTCATTTTTAATTATTTAGCTGACTTTCTTGCTTTGCTGTGATACCACATTTATTATTTAATTTGAAATCAAAAGGGCTGCGCTACTGTTAGTTTTTGATGCATTTTACTTTTGTTTTGGCTACGTTATTGTCATTCCATCGTACAGTAATCCAGATAGCCGTGATATGCAGATTGGCCAGATGGTCATGTTAACAGATTGAGAACCCACTTCCCACTGCTAAAGAGCAGGTGTAAGATCAGTGGGCTTTTTTTTTTCTCCTTTCCTCCCAAGTTTCAACCAAAATGCTCTTTGGACAGCTCATAATGGTAGTTAAAAAGAGGCACATTTCAAATGGTGTTTGTTCTGTGGAGACAATATGTAATATATGTGTCGTTTTTACACATATCTGAAGACTTTTAAAGCATCCGTGACATTCTCTCCATATATAAGGCTTTTGAAAACCTAATTCCAGCCCGTGGCTGTTCCAGCGTACATCCAAAATGGTCCTTAACAGTTTTGCTTTTGATGTTAATAGTCCCTATTAGTTTCTACAGTAAAACGCAGATTACATTTACTCTTACAAAAAGTACTCAGCCAGCTTTGCACCAGGTATTTCACACGCTTACCCTGTACAGGGCTCCCTGCACATGCCCAGGGGAACCTGAACAGTTCAGTGTTCAGCTGAGATTTTAATAT